CTCTCTGCTCTCTCTACCTGTATATACCCACCTGTCTGTCGCTCTATCTCTCCACCTCTACCTGTCTGTCCTCAGGGTCTTCTGGCAGACTTTTCGAAGCGCAGTCGTAGTGCAAAGTTTCGTCTCGTCCCAAAGTTTAAAAAAGACAAAAACAACAGAAATAGAGATGCGTGTGCGACTCTCTCACTTCCAGGTGAGCTCTCTCTCTCTCTCTGCCATTCATTTTCTTTGCCTCTCAGTCACCCTCAGTGGGTTTAAATTCAGAAGGTAAAAATCACTGCTCTGGTTAAATCACTGCTGAAGGTGTCTGTAATCTTTTTTTGCTGGTTCCCTCTCTGAACCACTTCCTGTGGGTGTCTCAGTTCATCAGTGGGGAACAGAGGAAGTGGGGGCATGGCTGGACTTTCTTTGCCTCACTGAATATAAGGACATCTTTATTGGACACGATGTGCGCGGAGCCGAGCTTATCCACCTGGAGAGGAGGGACCTGAAGGTATCGCCACTAGCTTTCTCTGCTAACAGCTAACAAACGGCTGCAGGTGTTAGATTGTTTGAGCGATTCGATTCTGTCTGGTTACACATCTGTAATGAATACGTGTGTGTGTGTTTGTTCAGGACTTGGGAGTGACAAAGGTGGGTCATATGAAGAGGATCCTGCAGGGCATCCGAGAGCTGAACAGGAACAGCAGCACCAGTGAGGCCTAACTGCTGCCAGGTGACTGTTACAGAGGGTCACCAGAGCCGGCCTACAGGATCTGGGTCTGTGCATGCCCAGGCCGTGATTTATATACATAAAATTATATTTTAATTTTAGCTTAGCGGTTTAGACACAGTTCAGCACAGATCAGTTAAGAGCCTACAGCAGCCCAGTTTGATAAATTGATAACTCATCTGACTCAACCTGGTGCCCCTCCCTTTATTCATTCACTCTCTAGCTCACCTGACTAGAGCTCCTCGCTCTCTGTAGTGGAGTAGAACACAGTGAAATTTGGGCACAAAGATAGGGAATTATTTTACCACCTGGAGCACTGCCATTGAAAGAACATGCAGAATGCAAGCACTTGTAGTCACAAACACCATGTCAAACCCATCTCCTTGAAAAGGCAAATTGGAGAAAGAGCCCGGCGACGAACTGCACCGTCGGCATTTACAGCATTGTACCCTATGGCAAGACAATAAAAAGGCAGAGTCACCACACATTCTGTTGCTTTCTACAAAAGCCATGGTGCCAATACACAGCGGCTGCACTCAGCTGTTCTCACAGACGCTGTGCTCTCCTGTATTTCAGTACGGTGTATGAGCTTGTGTCATTTCATGTTGCCTAAAGTAAAATAAATAAATTCCTACAAATGCTGAGAATCCACAAATGCAAAGAGCAGTGGTGGAAGAAGTTTGTAGATTCCTTACGCATGTAAAAGTAGCAAAATCAGTGTAAAAATACTCTTGTTACAAGTAAAAGTCTTGCATTCAAAATGGTACCTACGTAAAAGTACAAAAGTATTGGCATCAAGTTATATTTAAAGTACCAAAAGTAGTCATTACCCGTTTCATATTAATGTACGTTATATTATTGGATTATAATTACTGTTACATTGTTTTCATCAGAGTCAAGCAACAAAATCACAAGAAGTAACAACTTGAATTGTATCGTGATGGCTACTTTCGACTGGTCCCGTCAGGGTCGTCACAGCGAATCATTTGTTTGAATTATATCGTGATAATTATCGATATCGACTGATGTGAGAAAATTTACCATAATAAAATATTTTGTGTGTGGCCCAGCCCTATTCCAGATTAAACCATTTAGCACAACACAATTTAAATAAAATCAGACTGTTAAAAGTGCAGTTACAGAACAAATATAACTTAACAGTAGTTGAATAATAAAACTGGTCCACCGGGAGTTTACACATTTACAACATGATAGAAACCAAAACCAAACTAACAAGGATGTTAGGAAGCAGCTCTGAAAAGAGATGTGCTCTGGCAGGGAGGTCCAGAGTGGGGCCGCACTCCTTGAGACCTGAGCTGGGTCTTAGGCACAGCCATAGCCCTGCCTGAAGGTCTAACATAGAAAACCAAATCCACATCCAGTCTTGTCCCGCCGATTCCAGTTACATCCTCAGAGGCCGACCCTGAACCCGTTCCACACACAGAGGTTAGCATAAAACCTTCTAGTATAAAGACTGTGATGTCTCTGTGAATGAGATGCACGTGATGCTGCCGCAGATGTGCACTGATAACCAGGTTGTAATTGATCATTTTTAATGATTGAATGTGTGTGTTCGACTAAAGTCCATGAAGTCTGATCCGGTCCTGTAACAGACCGATCTGGTTTTCTGCTCTGACTCGTTGTTGTTTTAGGGACCCCTGCCTGCTCTCCTCCTACCTCTGTTGCTATTAACAACCTTGTCCACCTGACCTCTGACCCTGAACCAGAACCAGGTCTGACATCACACACAAGGACCCGGACTAAGTCTTGTTCTGTGAGACTCAGTGCTGGTCCCCAGACCTCGTCAGTCCTCCTCACGGTGACCACACAGACCACCTAGAGAGAGAGCCAATCAGATGATCTGCTAGTGCCTTGTCATCTCACCCACCGACCAACCAGCATCCAGGTTGTGGTGGCTGTAGGGTGGGTGTGTATCAGAGCCTCCGCCTCCAGACAGGTGAAGATCTGCACCATACACAGTCTGAGCTGAGGCGACAACATGGCTGACCAGCTCTGCTCATGTTTTAACATTTTGGGGACTGTTTACTGCAGACTTATGATTATTCTACCAAAATGCTGACCATTGCACTAAACGACATCCTGCCAGTGAGGTGAGATTGTTGGAATCTACCTGAATCCAGTATATGTAATATATAAGTGCAGTGATCAGTGTGGCTGAAATCATCGTTGTCGGGGATTTAGTCACAGCATCTGGTGAACAGAACCTGCAACAGCTGCGTTCCTTCTTTTTGCAGTAAAGTATAACCCAGAGGCTGAGTTTGAAGCCAAGTGTCTTCATGTGATGTTTCAGCTCCTGAATATAGTTTTGACATGGGTCAGATTCATGTTACAGCCTGAAACCTGGAAGTATTTAAAGAAGTGAAACAATCCTCAGATGTTTCTTTGTATGGAACTAATTCACAACAACAATTGTCTCAGGGCACTTTACATAGTCTGGTCTAGACCTTATACTATTTCAGAGGAAAATCCCAGAAAACCCCCCTTGAGCAGCACTTGGGGACAGCGGGTAAGAAGAACTCCCTTTAACAGAAGGAACCTCCGACAGACTCTTGGTGGGCAGCCTTCTGCCTCGACCTTGGAACTTTTCAGTCTCCTCTACCCACTCTGCCCAACTGGTCGAGGCAGAAGCAAAATGATCCTCAGATGTTTCCTGATGTTGCAATGTGAGCTGGAGCTCACAGAGTCGATTGTGGAGTCATTAACAAGTTGAACCAGAGAACCACACTCGGTTGGGTGCGGTGAGATGACTGCTCCCAGTTCATCACTGACAAAAACAGTGCTGTTCCCAAGCTCATCAGCAGAGTTTCAGGTGAGGGTCTGAGTGTGCAGAACAATGAACAGTGTGTGAATCTGTTTTTACAGGCCAAAACCTTGTGAGAGAATAGTGTAGTAATGTAAAATGTAATTCTCCCGAAACAACACACACTGACAAAAGAGAAACTGTTTAAAAAGACCAAACAGCAGCAGGTTCCTGTCCCATCATTGTACAGCAGCAGAGTCTCTGCTGAAGTAAAGTCTTGAGGACTCGGTGAAAGACTGATAAGAGCTGCACATTGTTTGCAGTGTTGCAGCCTAACAGCAGAGTTTCCTGCCCTGACCATCCCATCACAGCATGACTGAAACCTGGCCCTGCCAAGGCGGGTCTGTGCCGTGCTGGGGCTGAGTATGGGCAGGGTCAGTCACAAGACTGGCTGCCAGATGAGGCGCAGTTTTTGGGACCTGAAAACTTTGCTCACGAGTCTGACATGACTCCAGAAACCAGACGAACAAAACTGAAGCCAGCCAATCAGAATCCCTCAGGTACCTGACCTGTCGGACCAGGATGCAGCAGAACCCTTTAAACTTTGAGACGTTTGAGCAGCTCAGAGACTTTATAGGAACTGTTTTATGTTTCTAACCAAAAAGGAACAGAGCCGTTGTTCTTCCTCACAGGGAACAGACAGAGTTTTGCCCTGAAACAGATGGGGTTCTTCTTGAAGCCGCAGTCACGAATCATCCTGTTTTTGAAAAACAGGATGATTCTGAAAGTTGACGAGGGAACGTCGGGGCAGACACCCTCAAGATGATTGGGAGGTCTGACAGACGCTCAGCACACAACAGTCGACCGACGAAGATGAGCTGCGTTTTCTGTCTCACAATGTTTTTCTGCTTCTGTGTGTTTGTCTGGTGTGTGTCTCAATGAGAGTGTAATATGTTATCGACAGTCACAGGTTTCAGGGACCAAACAAACCTGTTTCAGACTGAAGACACGTCAGTGTAGAAAACTAACATTCATTCAAGGTTTAAGAGGGGTAACGTTGGTATCAGGTTTATCTCATCAGTATAAACTCACTGTTGTTGTGAAGCCTCTGGACTTGTCCAGTCCAGTCAGTCCAGTGAGCTGAACAGCCTTAGCTACAAGCAGTCTGGTATGGCAGCTGCCAACAAAACATTCAGCGGTGAAGTCCTTTCAGCCTTTGGGCCAGTGAAGCTGCAGCTGTTCTTGTCTTTCCCACTTTGACATTTGCTGCTTCTGGGTCACATCCTTGGAACTTTGGAAGCTTCACTGTGGTTCCCCCTTTTATAGACCAGATGACCATTTTTTTAATTGAGGAAGTGAAGTGCACAGCTGCCTGTAACAAGAAGCCAATGATCAGCAGCCGTTTAGTGTTTACTGGATTTATAGGTAAAGTTGAAGGAAACATGAAAACAGACTTCATCAGATGTTGCCTTGAGCCCCTTGATCACATATCTGTCAGATAGACCTCAGGTTTACTCTGCTCACTGTTCAGTGTCGGGCAGCGGGAACGTTGGATTGTTTAGGAAAAGCAGCCACTGCCTTCAGCAGAATTAACTCTGATTCTTAAACTGCACAATGAGACGGAAAGATTCACAGATGTTTTTTTTGTTTTTGTTTTTTTTATTGCAACACAAAATGACACGTTTATAGGACAACGGACATAACATAGAAAATAAAGCAAACATTGACAAAAGAGACTTGCGACTAGTTTGTGAGGGTGTGTAGCGTGGGCGTATTCAGTTCTATGCAGTCTGGTATTCAGTCTGTACTAAAGAAAAATAAAATTCAA